TGGGAATTAAACTGAGGGGTATTAAAGACATCACTCATCTGTGCTAAGACACAGGTCTGTGGTTTCACTGTGGCTTGACTGTAAATCCATCACTTACGATCCACATTAATTAGATGAACAGATCAAATGAGCCAAGTGCTCCTTTCTGCTTTCACCATCCGAAGCATTGATCAGAGCCTGCATCCTACATGGCATCCTATTCTCTACGCATTTTGGGTATACGAAAAAATAGTTTTATAGGATGTGACAATTTTGTATGTTTTAAATGCCACGATGTCATACTCATTTTGGCTTTTCATCTAGTAGAATTCGCTGCAACACTATTGAGGAAGAGAATCGTCTTCTGAGACTTGTGTGTTTGACAACAGCTGATAATCAGCTGAAGGGACGAGCTGTACCAAAATGAACGAATGGTGGGAATCAACGCAATTGCGCATTAGATGATGACACATTCTCAGTAGGATGAGCCTAATATGCTGATATTTATTGCTTACTGCATTCATTGTTACTAAACAGTACGTTCTAAATAGTATGTAGGACAATTAGTACACAGTATGCAGTTTCAGTAAGTAGTAGGCAAGCCAGATTTCAGACACAGCTTGTGTCTGTAGGTACATTAATCTCCACTGAAATGTGGTCCATTTGAGTAAAGGGTTGTAGTGTTTTCTTAACCGCTTCAACAATCAATAATGACCTGTTACATGTTTTGGGGGTTCTTTATTAGCAATTCTGCTACATGTTCTTCTTTAAGGTGGAATGAAAAGGAGTTGTCTTCCTCCTCTTTGGGCTGTGGATGGTTGGCTGTACTTATGGAGGTTGAGTAAACCATAGAAAACAAAAAACATCTCTGGTGATTAACTCTCTGAGTCTGAGTCACACTGACTCTGATCTAATCCAAACCTTAGTTAGCGCTTTTATTGTTTCTGTTGGCATGGAGAACCTGTATAGAAAAGATGTATCCTCTTCCTGTGTGTACTTTACTGTGAGACACTGTGGCAACAAACACTGGTTTGCTTGAGGGAGAAAAACTTAATGAGTGTAGGGATCAGACACCATCACTTTACATAATAAATCAGCGAGATTAATAACAAAGCAATAAAAGTATACATTCAGCAAGAATATAAAAAGTACACTTAACAAAGTACAAACACTAACCGGATGACAGACTAACCAGGGGAGTACACTAGAAAAAAAAATATGTGGGAACACATAAAAGCCAAGACAAGCCTGTGGGAAAAGTTATGTCTTTAGAGAGGACTTGAATGTGTGTAGTGAGCTGTGATTGTAACTTGTGAATCTGTCTGTCTTTAGGACTACCCCAAGAACAGACACCCGGGCTGGAGCCGAGGCTCAGTGGCTTATCACGCAGGTGAGACTTGGTGCTCTTCATCTACATTTCTCTGTGCTCTTCATCAACATTTCTCTGTGCTCTTCGTCAACATTTCTCTGTGCTCTTCGTCAACATTTCTCTGCGCTCTTCGTCAACTTTTCTCTGCGCTCTTCGTCAACATTTCTCTGTGCTCTTCGTCAACATTTCTCTGTGCTCTTCGTCAACATTTCTCTGTGCTCTTCATCAACATTTCTCTGTGCTCTTCGTCAACATTTCTCTGTGCTCTTCGTCAACATTTCTCTGTGCTCTTCGTCAACATTTCTCGGTGCTCTTCGTCAACATTTCTCGGCGCTCTTCGTCAACATTTCTCTGTGCTCTTCATCAACATTTCTCTGTGCTCTTCGTCAACATTTCTCTGTGCTCTTCCTAACTTGTTTTCTGTCTTGCCTTTCTCCCCTCTCCTGGCCTGTCTTGCTTACTGGTTAGCTCATTCCCTGAGTATGTGGCTGATGGATCAGAGCTGTTTCCTGTGTATCTCTCTGATACACACAGTTTTCAAACCAAGCATCTCTGGGCACCATCTCAGCTGGAGGTGGCCAGGGAAGATAGAGTAGGATCACGCAGGGCGATAAAGAAGAGAACGGCAAAACGTCTGAGGAAGAAAGGGGGAGGATATCTCATTCCTCAGGGAGTCATCTCTCCTTCTCCAATCAGATAATCAGTTATCTTGCTACGGTTGTATAACTGCTCAGTGTGGCCCTTTGTGAAGACAGGCCCTGTTACCAACTGCTGCAATCTCTCTGTCTCCAGGCATCTGCCATTCCAAAGCCTCCAGCATCCCACCGCTATCTATTACTGAAGAGCTATCACTATAGATTAGCTATCAAGTGCTGCTAGGTCTGATACTGTATCAGAGCTAGGGAGAATGTATCATGGGGGTGCTGAGGGTTATCTACCCAGAGGCCAGTCTGAAGGACCTCATTGTTAAACCCATCATCGTCAATGGGTCAGAGGGCATCAGCCAGATGGTGTGTCTTAATGGTGTGTCTGAAATGGCATCCTATTCCCGAATGCCTATACAGTGTAGTGCACTACTTTTGGCCAGAGTAGTCCACTAAATACTGGGAATAGGGTGCAATTAGGGATCTGGTCCAAAGTAGTGCGCAACTTTACTGTTTATTTTCCTCACCATCTGACTATGTCCTAGGCTGCCTCCCAAACGGCACCCTATTTCGTAGTGCACTACTTTTGACCAGAACCCTAATGGGCCCTGGTCAAAAGTAGTGCACTACAAAGGGAATAGGGTGCTATTTGGGATGCAACCCTAGTAAGGCTGGAGATGATACAACCAGGGCTGACTGAGGGATGGATTGGGGCATCACAGTCAGTCCCACTGCGTTCTGTATGTGGGCTCCCCCTCTGGTTTGGCTGGCGTGTGGAAGACGCCACAAGAATTTGCACGCCCTAGCACAGCTCCCCATTAATCTTATTTGTTAGAGACAAAGATGATGTATGTGGTTTTCCACGCTGTTTCTGAGGTTTGCCTTCTCATGCTTGGGTTCACATACAGGCTCCGTCCAGCTCCTTCAGTCTACATCAACAGGACTCCTAGTACCTCTTATTCTGCGTCCCAAATGTAATCCTATTCCCTACATAGTGCATTGCTTTTGACGAGGGCTCTGGTCAAAAGTAGTGCACTATGTAGGGAACAAGATGCCATTAGAACCTCTTAGTGGTCTCCTCTCCATCCATCCATCCATCCATCCATCCATCCATCCATCCATCCATCCATCCATCCATCCATCCATCCATCCATCCATCCAAGCCTTTAACACAGTCAGCAGCGCAATAACTCAGGACTTCACAATATGCACACACATGACAAACTAGTATGTATGCAATAATTATAGTAAAGGCAATATAGCATATGGCCATAGCAGATTCTCAATAGGAAAGGCCGATGTTCAATTTGTGTCTTTTGCCTTACTGAGTTTTGAGAAAGAGCTTCTTGCTGTTTAGCTTTTTTTTACCAACACGAAAACAGTGGCGGGCTAAGATAGAACACTGTGAAAAGGTCTGGTTTGGTTTATCACCTCAGTCGTCTGTTTAGCTCACAACCATGGCTGCATCCCAAATCGCACCCTATTCCCTATATAGTGCACTACTTTTGACCAGAGGCCCATTTAAAGGGAGTAGTGTGCCATTTGGGAATCAGCCCATATCTGTTTTTATGTTCTCCTCGCGTTCCAGAGGGCAAGTGGCTGCCAGCTGCCAGCGTATCATTTCACTCACATCAATCACAAGTGTGACTGTTGGGATATTGGCACAGACAGTGAGAACCTCCATTCCGTGTGTTGCCACAGTGTGATGGTGCTGACTGTGTCGATGGGCCGTGGTCCATTTTCTCTGCTCTGAGCAGCGCCCTGTTATGTGTGTGTGTGTGTGCGGCTTGTTGCGGTGCCCTGTTAGTAGCAGCCAGTGAGGCAGCAGCTCACCAAGCCTCATTAAACCTGTCACCTTGGCAGGCGCAATGCTTTCAGAGCACGACCCTATCACCACTCCTCATCAGTGACTCATGCTCTGACTCAACACCAGCATGATGCCCTGCCCTACAACAACCACCACTACCTAACCTGGCAGGCACTGGCCAACCGCAGAGCCAGACCTGGCATACCACAACCCATTGTCTTTGTCACCGGCACAGGCCCCACCCTACACCTACCACCACCACCGCCTTGCCGAACTGTCACAGGCCCTATCCTACAACCACCATAGCCACATTTTAACAATAAAGACCTACTGTATGTATCTTCTAGGTCAGTGGCTGTGGTGTTAAAATCCATGCACATATTCTAGTTGTTCATGTTTGAGGAAACAGTTGAGTCAAAGTTCCCTGGGCCAGGCCAGGGAGGGATTCAGGGAAGCCCCTGTGTTTTCCAGACATACTCTCGTATTACGAACGCCAACCGGTCCTGTTCTCTCGTTCACGCCTCTCTTTTCCTCCGTCCCTCCGGTCTTCAGCTGCCTTCCAGCTAGGTGTCAGCCAGGTTTCAGCCAGATTTCCTGGCGTGGCGAGCTGGTGTCTCAGGTGCCAGATGCCTTGCCTTCTCTAGCCAGAGTCCTCTCTCTATCCACGCGCCACACAGCTATTTTTAGCCGCACTCCTCTTCTCCCTCTCCTCTCTTCCCCCTCTCCTCTTCTCATCCCCCCTCCTCTCCTCTCCCTCCTCCCCACTTCTTCACCATCTTCTCCTCCCCCTCCCCCTCTCTTCCCCCGTCGTGGCACCAGTGTTTGCTGTGTGTGTTGTGACAGGGGCCCACATGGGAGCCCTGATGATACAGTGTCTCCATCTCCCTCCCCGTCCTGCACACACACACACACACAATCTCAGATAAAGATTGTTTAAACAGTATCCTGAGCCGGGAACGGCTCCCATGACAACTCCACAAATATTTACCAGAAACCATGCCGCAGCGCACCATAGAGGATCATGTCTGCAGGCTACCTTTTAGCAATGTTTTTCTTTCTTTTTGTATCGTTCTTTCTCTCTCTCTTTCTTGTTTTGTTGTTTTCCACCAGAGATTGGATTTGTTTTACTGAAAGAATACTGAAGTAATGTTATGTAAAAAAGAGTTTCAAGTGAAATTCCACTGCAAGTGTTTCTAGTAACATGTTTTTTTGCTTTTGCGAAGAACAATTAGGTGACAATGTTGCCCTCTTGGTGAAAGTTCCAAAACATTGTAGCATAATACAGTAGGATAATCTATCCATCTATCCATCTATCCATCTATCCATCTATCCATCTATCTATCTATCTATCAATAAACAAATTAATCACATTTAGACCTTTTTACATCAACAGTCCTCACAGTGACAAGACTCATTTCTCCCCCTCTTTCTCTCCCTCTCTCTCTCTCTCTCTCCCTCTCTCTCTCTTTCTCTTTCTGCCTCTCTCTCCCTCTCTCACTCTCTATCTCTCCCTCTCTGTCTTTCTCTCTCTCTCTCTCTCTCTCTCTCTCTCTCTCTCTCGCTCTCCTCTCTCTCTCTCTCTCTCTCTGCTCGATCATCTCTCTCCTGACCTCGGTAGCTCTCTCTCTCATCTCATCTCATCTCAGTCTCACCTCCCTCTTCTACCTCTCTCTCCCCTCTCTCTCTCTCTCTCTCTCTCTCTCTCCTCCTCTCTCTCCTCTCCTCTCTCTCTCTCTCAGATGATGGGAAGATCTTCCATGGTAGTGGGGTTGGGGAGCCGTTTGGTCCTCGCTGTATCGAGGGTGACATCATGGGCTGTGGCATCATGTTCCCACGGGACTACATATTGGATGGTGAAGGTAAGGACAATAAGATGGGGGCGCATTTTCAGTTCAATTCAATAGATCTTTATTGTTCCTGAATGGCAATTTGTTTACAGTAATGGAAGTTAAAGACATGCTCCAGAACTTTGGCAACTGACTAGTATTTTTTAAACCTCCCGCTTTGGGATGGATGTGTTAATGTGTAGTTCATACATGCATAATCTATGAGCAGAATTACTGTCTCATGATATTCCTTGTTTGAAAGCAACTGTTTTTCTGGAAGCTGTGCCATTTTCCATACATTTTCACCCACGTGGACCAGCCCCCTAGCAATTCAAGTTCAACCAATGAGCTTCAGCCCCTCGCCAAGCAAGATCCACACACAGCAGAGTGAGAGAGAGAGAGCAATGGCGTGGTCCTCATACAGTATCTGCACATGTGACGTAGGACGCCATTTTCGGGAAACACTTTTGGCTCGTGAGGGCTACTTTCAAAACTACTGGCTAAAAAGTATACAAAATTACAGGAGAATCCCTTTAAAAGAGTTTCCAATGTCACTTGTTCCCATTCATGACATGACAGGTCCTCCCTGTAACCTACAGATGTGGTGTAGAACAAAGAGGAAGTAGTGACACTTGCCTGAGTTGAGAGTGAACGTTAGATGATTCAGCTGTTTGGGGCGAATCTTCACTTCTGTCCAATTTTCACTTAGTCATACATTGATGTCAATGGAAATCAGGGGCACAACTTTGGCTTTAGAAGTGGGGGGTACATAACTTGGCGGGGGGGTCCTACATTTTTGGGGGGCATCTAAAGCTCATTTCCTGCATTTCTACACAATCTAATATGACCCATGGCCCTTCTAGCAGTCTCTATTTAGAACAACAAAAAGTAAGCAAAAACGCCCACAGTCATCAAGCTAGGTAAGAGATCATTATTAAATATGTTTAAGTGATTGATAAGACTAAACTAGATCAATGATAATTCAATAATCAATATTGTGTTGCACCTTTAACCAATAGCCTAACAAATGAACAACTCTTACAAATAAATTATAAATACTTTTGATTGTCTTTATTAAGACATCCTCTATATCAAATTTCAGCCAGACCGCCCAGCCAGCCCGAGCCACCTGCATGCCCGACCCCCACCAGTCTAGTCAATACATAAACTCTCCCCAACACAACTTCCTTCCCATCTTTTTTTTTATGTCTCAAGGTTTTTATGTCTAAAGGTTTGGAAAACAAAAGTTTAATAAAAACACACATACACCTACACATTAAAACACAGAAACAGTACACCCTCCATATAATTCATATCATAGGCCTAATAGTACAGTAGAGCTCTTTTTACTTGCACACAATATAGCTGGATCACCCCGTCCTGCCCCTAGGGGTCCACGGCCCTGCAGCGCCCCAACCCAACACACCCCACTCAACTTTTAGGATCTTAGTTAAACATTCATTATTGGTTTCAGGTGTGTTATGCCAAGGCCAGAGTGACAACCAACAGTACGGCAGACCCCCAGGTTCAGGACTGAGCAGCCCAGCAGCTAGGGATTGCCTAAATAGGTATCTCTCCTGACGAGGGCATGTTTTCAATAGACTCCTTTTGTCCTACAGTATTCCATATAAGGTATCCAGACCTTATGAAAGTTGCACAGTATATCCTTAATCTTGGAATAAATCAAATATAGTGATACATAACTTGACATTTCTTCCATTCATTGTGGGAGGATAACCAACGTTCCAATTAATGGCAATGCATTTCTTAGCCGCTATTAATGCTAGGTTACACAGTTTCCTCTGATAAGTCTCCAGTATCAACATTTCCAAGCAAACAAAAACAGGGAGGAGGGAGAATCTGTAGACATGCTGAGATAAAAGAACATACTATTTGACAGAATTCAGCCAGCCTTCACAAGACCATAACATATGCACATATGTACAAATGTGTGTTTTACACCTCCAGCAGAATAATTACATTTCTGAGAGCATGATATTCAGTTTCACTGGCATATAGTACGTTCTATGGATGGTCTTAAACTGCAGTAATTTATGTCTGAGATTATATGAACATGACGGGGCATTCTAACATATCTGTATCCATTCATCATCATCAATAGCGTCTCCCAAGTCTTCGTCACATTTTTGTTTGACATGTTTTGTGTCATCGGGAAAAGCCTCTATCAACCCTTGAATCAATCCTAGAATCAATGGTTCAATAATTGAATTGACCATTATTCCCAGATCCCAGACTGTAGCCTACCCATCAACTCAAGATGGAACTTTGTATCCAGTCACTGATTGTTATAATATACTGCAAAATTCACCTGAGCTCCGTAGACTGGTCTTCCCTGGCTGTCTGACCCTGCAGTGACACCTGTCACCATCTGATCCTGCTAAGACATGATGAGCATAGTGTTGTGTACTGACTGTGCACCATGACAGTGTAGCCTGTAGAGCTGTTAATACCGTGTCAGTGTGAAAAGTAGGGAATTAGCTAGGGAAACTGACAGATAACGTTACATTGCTTTACTGAGTAATAAAAACTCATATTGCGCTGAAGAAATGTCAGCATATCGGTCTTCAATTGTTTGGCTGCTGGTTTCATCGCTTGATTCAGGTCTAGTGAGATTGAGGTAAAAATTATAGCTAAAGTTAGTGAGCTAGCTAGCTAACGTTAGCCAACTTTTGGCTAGCTCTAGCTAATGGTAAATCATCAAATTTACTTCTGTTGAAACGGGACAAAACATTTCCATACACACAACAGCTGTTAGATACTGCTACCTGACAGATAGCTAGAGGCTAGCTAGAGCTGAACTGGCTGTAGTAGCTATTCGCTAGCTAACTAGCTGCTAGTAGTTCATTAACTTCAGTCCAGAGGGGATGAAACATTAGCTGACGTTACACTACTAGCTCAGCACTGGGAATATTTTTTTCTTCTTCTGTCAAACAGCAGTTGCCTTGCCAGCTAGATCAGTCAACTAAAGAGTAGCCAGTTTCTGCTCTGCTTGCTTTTGAAACTCAGAAGAAAAACGCAACACAGACAGCAGCTGCCTCTGTTCATCTCTCCCATGCGGGTCCTACACCGTAGCCTTTCAGAAGCTTTGCCTTCACACAGCCTGTCTGCACGCTCTGCTCTGTGGTGTCCATGCGGTCCTAAATCCAGCCGTCTGAAACCAGAATACAGCCTACCTGACAGCTCTGAGACCACGCAGACGTAATGTAATTTCAGAATGAAGGGGGGTCATGTCCCTCCCGTCCCGTGAACGTTGCGCCCCTGATGGAAATAATGGGAGTTAAGATTTGCCCTTTTGTGTTTTGTCCTCAGATGACATAGATGAGTGGGACCCGTTGGAGGTGCTGCCGAGGCAGGGCGAGGGGCGCATCCAGAACGTTCTGTACCTGAATGATGAAGAGTTGGAGGAGGAGGAAGAGGGGGACGAACTGGACCAGGAGCATGACGGCAGGAAGGTCATGGTGAGCACATCTCATTGGTCACACACACACAACACAATAATCTAGACTAAGTTACTTGTGTCACTTACCTCCTCACATGCAGATCCTTTGATTTAAAATCATGAACTGAATCTGCGTTGTGGTTTGATCGTGTTTGTTTGTTGTTATTTTGATTGACTGTAGCTGCTGGAATGGTGAAGCAGCATTCTTTACAGAGACCACACGTCTCATATGGCTGCCATGCCTTGGCCCTAGTCTCACTGCTGCATTGTGCAACGAGGGGTCAGTGAGACTGTAGCCTGCGTCCCAAATGGCACCCTATTCCCCACATAGTGCACTACTTTTGACCAGGGCTCTATGTAGGGAATAGGGTGCCATTTATGCTGTTGTTGCAACCTTAGAGAGTGAGAATAGAATTGGCCAAGCCGTAATCCAGGGATTTGTTCATATTTATTCAGTGTGACACATTACCAACAAAGCCTGCTTTGACATTACAGAACACTCTGGCACCGCACCGCACGTACCGCACCACACACACACAAAAACACACACACACACACACTGGAGTCACTAAGGGTGTAGTAATGCCATAGCTACATGAGAAAGGCAATATTGACAAAATGGCCATTCTGACATTTTTTAAATATCATTCATCAAAGACATGAAACTCAATATGCCTTCATATAAAGAGCTGCTTTTAGAATGATTGGGTAAATATTTGATGTGTGATGTGATTTGAGTGAGTGTCAGTGAGATATGTAGCTGTAGCTACAGTAACTGTAGGGAATGCCTTTGGGCATCCCATTGTGGTTATGCAGGTGTTCTTTTATGATTGTGATGTGGTGGTTTTACCTACCTCAGTTGAAGGCCGGGATTCAATCAAAGGTACGTTTTAGAAAATCGCATTGAACTTGACTTTTAAAGGCAATTTACACTTGAGCCGACATCCACAGCGATCTCCACGAGCATCGGGAAATTGCCTTACAAAGGTGCATTGCCTGTAGTCTACAATGCTCCTCTGATTGAATCCTGGCCTAAGTCTTTGTGGATTGGAGTGTCTGCTAAATGACTAAAATGTGAATGTAAACAGTAGTGAATCTGAATGTCTTTTTGGCGCCCTCCTGTGGCTGTGTGGCAGGTGTTCTTCACACGGAACGGAAAGCTGATGGGTCGCCGTGAGGTGGTGGTGCCCCCAGGGGGGTTCTACCCCACTGTGGGGATGCTGAGCAGCGGAGAAAAGGTCAAGGTGGACCTGCACCCCCTCAGTGGATGAACCTGACCAACCTGCATCCTCTTAGTGGATGAGATGAGCCCAGAAACAGAACACTGCACCCTGTCATCGCCTGACAAGTGACCACATCAAGCCTTGCTGGGGATCAGCGGAGTAGTGAAATTAGGGCAGGGATTCATTCCACGGCGTACTATAACTGACTTTTAAAGGTATTTTATGGTTGACCGTTTACCATTTATTTGATCTCTGCAAACATCTGGGAAAAAGCTGTTAAAAGGCATATTGTCGGCAGTATAGGGTGCTGCCCTGTAGCGCACCTTGAATAGAACCCCGGCCTTGGTCACAACCATCAGGACTCACTGTGGCAAAACTACCATCATGTCTACTGTAGCAAAAACAAAATTATAATAATAATAATATATATGCCACATACACCAGTGCAGTGAAATGTGTTGTTTTACAGGGTCAGCCATGGTAGTTTGGCAAATTAGGGTCAAGTGCCTTGCTCAAGGGAACATCGATTTTTTTTCACCTTGTTGTCTCGGGTATTCGGACCAGTGAATACCAAAACTACCATCAGGACTCACTGTGGCAACACTACCATCAGGACTCACTGTGGCAAAACTACCATGAAGACTCACTGTGGCTAAACTAAAGGCTTAGCCTTTGTTGGATAATTCTGTGCAATTTGTTGTTTTTTTATTTTTCATCAAGCCACATTTTTTCTCTGTCAAAGCAAATAGTCAGTCCTGCCTGGTCCTGGGCTCTGAAACAGTGGAGCCCCTTAAATGTCTCTCATGAGGTCTACTGGCACACTTTGTTTATTCCATTTGTCATCGCCCTATACATAGCAATGCATGTCCAACAGGTCTTGAGAGCCTGTTGGCAGTTCATGTTATAGGCACTAGTGAGTGAGTAGTGCCCTCCTGTGAGCACTGGAGGTTGCTTCCCAAATGGCACCCTATCCCCTATACAGTGAGGGAAAAAAGTATTTGATCCCCTGCTGATTTTGTACGTTTGCCCACTGACAAAGAAATGATCAGTCTATAATTGTGAGACAGAATAACAACAAGAAAATCCAGAAAAACGCATGTCAAAAATGTTATAAATTGATTTACATTTTAATGAGGGAAATAAGTATTTGACCCCCTCTCAATCAGAAAGATTTCTGTCTCCCAGGTGTCTTTTATACAGGTAACGAGCTGAGATTAGGAGCACACTCTTAAAGGGAGTGCTCCTAATCTCAGCTTGTTACCTGTATAAAAGACACCTGTCCACAGAAGCAATCAATCAATCAGATTCCAAACTCTCCACCATGTCCAAGACCAAAGAGCTCTCCAAGGATGTCAGGGACAAGATTGTAGACCTACACAAGGCTGGAATGGGCTACAAGACCATCACCAAGCAGCTTGGTGAGAAGGTGACAACAGTTGGTGCGATTATTTGCAAATGGAAGAAACACAAAATAACTGTCAATCTCCCTCGGCCTGGGGCTCCATGCAAGATCTCACCTCGTGGAGTTGCAATGATCATGAGAACGGTGAGGAATCAGCCCAGAACTACACGGGAGGATCTTGTCAATGATCTCAAGGCAGCTGGGACCATAGTCACCAAGAAAACAATTGGTAACACACTACGCCGTGAAGGACTGAAATCCTGCAGCGCACGCAAGGTCCCCCTGCTCAAGAAAGCACATATACATGCCCGTCTGAAGTTTGCCAATGAACATCTGAATGATTCAGAGGAGAACTGGGTGAAAGTGTTGTGGTCAGATGAGACCAAAACCGAGCTCTTTGGCATCAACTCAACTCGCCATGTTTGGAGGAGGAGGAATGCTGCCTATGACCCCAAGAACACCATCCCCACCGTCAAACATGGAGGTGGAAACATTATGCTTTGGGGGTGTTTTTCTGCTAAGGGGACAGGACAACTTCACCGCATCAAAGGGATGATGTACCGTCAAATCTTGGGTGAGAACCTCCTTCCCTCAGCCAGGGCATTGAAAATGGGTCGTGGATGGGTATTCCAGCATGACAATGACCCAAAACACACGGCCAAGGCAACAAAGGAGTGGCTCAAGAAGAGCACATTAAGGTCCTGGAGTGGCCTAGCCAGTCTCCAGACCTTAATCCCATAGAAAATCTGTGGAGGGAGCTGAAGGTTTGAGTTGCCAAACGTCAGCCTCGAAACCTTAATGACTTGGAGAAGATCTGCAAAGATGAGTGGGACAAAATCCCTCCTGAGATGTGTGCAAACCTGGTGGCCAACTACAAAAAATGTCTGACCTCTGTGATTGCCAACAAGTGTTTTGCCACCAAGTATTAAGTCATGTTTTGCAGAGGGGTCAAATAATTATTTCCCTCATTAAAATGCAAATCCATTTATAACATTTTTGACATGCGTTTCTCTGGATTTTTTTGTTGTTGTTATTCTGTCTCTCACTGTTCAAATAAACCTACCATTAAAATTATAGACTGATCATGTCTTTGTCAGTGGGCAAACATACAAAATCAGCAGGGGATCAAATACTTTTTTCCCTCACTGTATAGTGCGCTACTTTTGACAAGTGCCCTATTTGCCCTGGTCAAAACTAATGCACTATATAGGGAATAGGGTGACATTTGAGACGCCGGCAGATTCTGTGTGTGATTGAGTGAGTAGTGCCCTCCTGTGAGTACTCATTAACCTGCCTCATGGAGCTGAGCTTGCTAGGCCACATATCTGTTAGTGTATAGCCAACTCCTATGGTCATTGTCATGCCAAACATGTATACACAGATTTGGGACCAGGCTAGAGCTGAGCTAGGTGGGTGTAAAAATTATATTCTCCATATCACATGGATGGCATCCTGGCATCAAGTAACCCCTTATCAAAGAATTATGGAAATGTGTGAATATATACACTACATGGCCAAAAGTATGTGGATACCCCTTCAAATTAGTGGATTTGGCTATTTCAGCCACACCTGTTGCTGGCGGGTGTATACAATCGAGCACACAGTCATGCAATCTCCATAGACAAACATTGGCAGTAGAATGGCCCGTACTGAAGAGCTCCGTGACTTTCAACGTGGCACCGTCAGAGGATGCCAACTTCCCAACAAGTCAGTTCGTCAAATTTCTGCCCTGCTAGAGCTGCCCCGGTCAACTGTAAGTGCTGTTATTGTGAAGTGGAAACATCTAGGAGCAACAACGGCTCAGCCGCGAAGTGGTAGGCCACACAAGCTCACAGAACAGGACCGGCGAGTGCTGAAGCACGTAGAAATAATCTGTCCTCGGTTCGAACACTCACTACCAAGTTCCAAACTGCCTCTGGAAGCAACGTCAGCACAATAATTGTTCGTTGGGAGCTTCATGAAAGGGGTTTCCATGGCCGAGCCTAAGAATAACATGCGCAATGCCAAGCGTCGGCTGGAGTGGTGTAAAGCTCGCTGCCATTGTACTCTGGAGCAGTGGAAACATGTTCTCTGGAGTGATGAATCACGCTTCACCATCTGTCAGTCCGATGGACAAATCTTGGTTTGGCGGATGCCAGGAGAACGCTACCTGCCCTAATGCATAGTGCCAACTGTAAAGTTTGGTGGAGGAAGAATAATGGTCCTTAGTTCCAGTGAAGAGAAAACTTAACGCTACAGTATACAATGACATTGTAGACGATTCTGTGCTTCCAACTTTGCCCCCATGCACAAAGCGAGGTCCATACAGAAATGGTTTGTCGAGATCGGTGTGGAAGAACTTGACTGGCCTGCACAGAGCCCTGACCTCAACCCCATCGAACACCTTTAGAATGAATTGGAACGCCGACTGTGAGCCAGTCCTAATCGCCCAACATCAGTGCCCGACCTAACTAATGCTCTTGTGGCTGAATGGAAGCAAGTCCCTGCAGCAATGTTCCAACATCTAGTGGAAAGTCTTCCCAGAAGAGTGGAGGCTGTTATAGCAGCAGAGGGGGGACCAACTCCATATTAATGCCCATGATTTTGGAACGAGATGTTCGACGAGCAGGTGCCCATATACTTTTGGTCATGTAGTGTATGTATAGATTATATACTGTATAGATTCATTATCTCCTATCTATTTTCCTAGATTTCTCTGTACATGGAATTCTATAACTGAAGACATGAGCTGGTCACATGTGGGAGAGACTTTTGGCTTTTTATAATAGGGGGGATGGGTGGTGAGGGTTTAGTTAAAAATCCAAAGCACTTTTTAAGTGTACTCTATCCACTCCCTATGTAATTTACAAGTGGTTACTTATTGTCTAATTATGTGTTCCGATTCATTTTTTATGAACATATCTTCATTGCAATCAAACAGATTAACATATTTGGGTTGAGGATAATAGATCAACTGTACAAGAGATTATGATTATGTTGACAATATACTTCTGTCACAAGCGCGTTAGAAATTGTTGATTAGGGTGGTGTCTGTCTGTAGTACACAGTAGCACCAGCAGAGCGCCATCAGGATCATGTTCAGGTCAATCTGAGAGGAATGCCTGTGTGTGGTTCCAAATGGCACCCTATTCCCTAAGTAGTGCACTATGTAGGGAATAGGTCGCCATTTGAGACTGAGTCTGTCTAAATGTATACAGAGTAAGAGATGGAGCTCTTGTCATTTGTTCATAAGGTTTAAGAAACTTGTTCCGATCAATGCCAAATGTTTAAGGATTGGCAGCTTTTGTGTCTTATGTGCCCCATGATCCAAATGGATTCTGATCAATCAGCCACATTGCATTTCTATTTGTATGATTTAACTCACCAATGTATATGAGAGGTTGTTTCTGTGTGCATCCCAAATGGCACCCTATTCCCTATATAGCGCACTACTTTTGACAAGAGCACTTATAGTCCCTGGTCAAAAGTAGTGTACTATAAAGGGAATAGGGTGCCATTTGGGACGCATCCTGTCACCCGGACATGCCTCATTCCCGTGATGTTGACACAATCCCAGATTTTGAGCCTTGTTTTAATCCACACAGCAGCACCTCTGTAGTTACGGTTCAGGCATCATGAAGACCATAGACATGCTTATTCATAGATGTTCTTCATAGTTGACATACAAGTAGCAGAAAGAAGGCTGTACTAGTATCTCAATTAGGGTTGCAAAATGGTAACTTTCCCATAATTCTCAGGTTTTCCAGAAATCGTGGTTGGAGTATTCTGGATTTCCTGCATATTCCCTCCTGATTCTTTCCTTCCTGCTGAATCTTCCAAACAGGATTGATGGAAAACCTGGGAATTATGGGAGAATGACCAGAATTTTGCAACCATAATCTCAATGTAAATGTTAGTAAGACAGCCTGCTGGAAGTAGGCAGGGTGCTAATTAATATATGTATTAAAAGGTAGTTATTTCCATACTACAATTGTTTGACATTTCATTGTTTGATATACATGTGTAGAATGAGACTAGAGGTTACAGAATATTTTTTGTACATCAATTTCTTTATTCATACGAACAATGATAACAAGCAGAATTAATATGGTGGAAACCCATCCTGTCCTTTCAGCTGAGCTCTCCTGCTGTTCTGAACAAAAAAATCCACCTTAAAAACATTCATCGAACTCTTTTTAAATACAGACTCAAATATGTCTCTCATTCACTGGGTTCAGTTGGTATCATCAGCATTCGTTTGGTTTTTACTGTGCCATCTTCCAGGCAAACCCAGAGCTAAGGTAGAATGGACTGAAATAAAAATGATCACAATAGGTAGTTTCAGATAATGGAATGTCTTAAAAGTAGCATAGAATGACACACAAACATAAGACTGATCTGTGTTTCAATAAATCTAAATGATGTAAAACTAACAATGTAGATATTCTGAGGACTTGCACACTCCAGTTGAGGTGATAGTTCAGAGGCACAAATAGAGCATAACACCTGACATCGCACCAAACGCAGCCAGACAGACACTGTTCCTTAGTAACAGGGAAATAAAGAGAGGAGCGAATGTTAACAGTCAACAGTGGTGATTATGTCTAATCATTTTCATGGTATGATAAACCGCAGTCCAGTCTCTTTCAGTCCTCCTCGTCCTCATAGTAGCGGTTCATCTTAATCATCTCCTCTACAGACACGGCCTCCTCGCCATTCCAGAAGCCCACATCCTGAGACGTGTGGTTGGTCTTGGACATAGGCTCAGTCTCCGGAGACGAGGGGGGCGTGGCGATCTCTGACGAGGCAGTCTGGCAGTTTTGAGAAAGTAACCCTGCTCCCTCTTCTTCTCCCCCCATCTTCTCCTCCCCGTCATTCTCTGCTCCCTGTTCTTGGTTTGCTTCTAGTAATTCGTGGTGGTCTTCTTTCAGAGGTGCGACTCTCCCCTTCATCCCCTCTTCCTCAGAGCTGGTGTGGACGTCCACGTAGCTGTCGTCAGAAGGCGTGTGGTAGTCAGGTGACAGGCTGTCTGGTTGTTCCCGGTCCTCCATGCTCTGTTCCTCAGGGCTGGAGGCCAGTTCAGGCTCCCTGTCCTCGAATGAGCTCCTCCTCTCCAGTGGCTCTGGCTCAGGATTGGCTGTCTGACTGGCAGCAGGGGCGGGAGCATGGGAGGCGCTGGCCAATGAAAAGGGTCGGCTACGCTCCTTGAGGGAGGCGCTCCTGCAGAGCGTGGAGCGTTCGGTGGACTCTGGGCTTTGGTCGGGGAAGGCTGAGTCACCCTCTGGGGGCCACTTAGCACGGGATGGTTTCCCGGTGGGGCTGGCCCCAATGTTACCAACCTCTCCGTCTCCTTCAGTGCGGGGGGGCCAGGAAATCTTCAGCCGACGTGTTTCCACTGGCTTGTCCTTCTCTGCTGAACTCTGGGCGCGGGTCTCCAGGGAGGCTGTCACCACGTTGACCTTGGCCAGTGGAGACTCCTCTACCGCTGGACTGATCAACAGCGTGCCTGTAGAGGCGCACTTCTTCAGCTTGTCTTTGGAGAAGGAGGTGGCCTTGCTAGTCTGCTCTGTCCCGTGTTCCTCCCCAGCCCCACTCTCTCCTTTGGTCTCCCACAGCTCCTTGTGAGGGCGCAGGCCGAAGCCCTCGTCATAGTTGCCCTTGGCCTTGAACAGCTGGCAGAAGTGAGGCTTGCAGTAGACGTGGCTGTGCAGAGAGGCGTAGGTCCCCAGGCTGGCCAGCAGAGGGAGACAAACAACACATTCAATATTTATTTTGAATCACGCAGCATAAACCCTGATCCTTAATTCAAGAGGAACAAGACTGTGGACCTAAAGACAATATAAAATCCACTAATAGTGAGATTAACAGATGTTTTAACAAATAAAAAATGCCATGCTGCATGGTGTCTGTCCCGTCCTATCCCCTCACCTGAGTTTGGTGTTGCAGTGGGAGCATCTGAAACAGGTGTTGTGGTAGACCTTTTGGTTGGCTACCAGACGCTCTAGAGGGTAGACTGTCTTCTGACATGACACACAACTCTCCCGTGCAGGCAAGCAGAAGCTCTGTACACACCACAAAATAAAGAGAGGCATTCAAGGCTGGTTAGGAGATTGAATGGTTGGTTTGGCAATTGCTCTGAGACAAATACAGAAAAGGGTCTGTTGAATTCACCCTGGAGGTCTTGGGCTGAGCTTGATCCTTCTGGTTCGAGGATACAGAGGAGGTGCCGGTACTGGAGCCTGCTGTGATATGATGAGACTAAAATCAATAATGGCACACACTGGACACCAGAGGGAGCTGTTATGAATATACTGATCTAACATTCACAAACTGAAACATATAGAGGAGACATAAATAATGACAGACAAGAATATACTGTAGCTCTGGTTAAATGCAGTGGAGGACCAAATTAGTTACCATTGCTCTCTGTGGAAGAGGCTTTCCTACTGTTGGGCTCTGAGTCCAGACCCTGAGAGAAGAGGGAGAGGTGGTGATTTAGAGATGTTTCAGACACACACACACACACACACACACACACAGGAGAACACAATCCCTCACCATGTCCACACTGTCTGGGGGTACATTCTCCTTCTGTTTGCTGCTGCTGCAGAGGTCAGAGTCCAGCTGATCACTCTGTCAGAGAGAGAAAAACAGGGACTTGTTTTAGAGTTGGGAAATGTAACCCGCAACTGACAGTTTCTGGCCCAATGTTCTTACTTTGGGTTCAAGTATGAAAAAAAAAAAAGTATGTCGCTCTGGATAAGAGTGTCTGCTAAATGACTAAAATGTAAAAAAATGAAAAATAATAAAATAAGTAAGTTCTAGCCTGATCCAAGACCACCATGACCCGCTGCGCTCTCGTTTCTCAAACAGAATGGAAGCTCGCAAGACTTCAGGATCGTTATACACTACCGGTCAAAAGTTTTAGAACACCTACTCATTCAAGGGTTTTTCTATATTTTTACTATTTTCTACATTGTAGAATAATAGTGAAGACATCAAAACTATGAAATAACACATATGGAATCATGTAGTAACCGAAAAAGTGTGAAACAAATCAAAATATATTTTATATTTGAGATTCTTCAAATAGCCACCCTTTGCCTTGATGACAGCTTTGCACACTCTTGGCATTCTCTCAACCAGCTTCACCTTGAATGCTTTTCCAACAGTCTTGAAGGAGTTCCCACATATGCTGAGCACTTGTTGGCTGCTTTTCCTTCACTCTGTGGTCCGACTCATACCAAACAATCTCAATTTGGTTGAGGTCGGGGGATTGTGGAGGCCAGGTCATCTGATGTAGCATTCCATCACTCTCCTTCTTGGTAAAATAGCCCTTACACAGCCTGGAGGTGTGTTGGGTCATTGTCCTGTTGAAAAACAAATGATAGTCCCACTAAGCCCAAACCAGATGGGATGGTGTATCGCACGCAGAATGCTGTGGTAGCCATGCTGGTTAAGTGTGCCTTGAATTCTAAATAAATCACAGACAGTGTCACCAGCAAAGCACCCCCACACCATAACACCTCCATGCTTTACGGTGGGAAATACAAATGTGGAGATCATCCGTTCACCCACACCACGTCTCACAAAGACACGGCGGTTGGAACCAAAAATCTCCAGTTTGGACCCCAGACCAAAGGACATATTTCCACCGGTCTAATGTCCATTGCTCGTGTTTCTTGGCCCAAGCAAGTCTCTTCTTCTTATTGGTGTCCTTTAGTAGTGTTTTTGTTGCAGCAATTCGACCATGAAGGCCTGATTCACACAGTCTCCTCTGAACAGTTGATGTTGAGATGTGTCTGTTACTTGAACTCTGTGAAGCATTTACACTACCGTTCAAAAGTTTGGGGTCACTTAGAAATGTCCTTGTTTTCGAAAGAAAAGCAATTTTCTTGTCCATTAAAATTACATCAAATTGATCCGAAATACAGTGTAGACATTGTTAATGTTGTACATTTCTCGCATTGAATAGCCTTCATTTCTCAGAACAAGAATAGACTGACGAGTTTCAGAAGTTATTTGTTTCTGGCCATTTTGAGCCTGTAATCGAACCCACAATTGCTGATGCTCCAGATACTCAACTAGTCTCAAGAAGGCCAGTTTTATTGCTTCTTTAATCAGCACAACAGTTTTCAGCTGTGCTAACATAATTGCAAAAGGGTTTTCTAATGATCAATTAGCCTTTTAAAATTATAAACTTGGATTAGCAAACACAACGTGCCATTGGAACACAGGACTGATAGTTGCTGATAATGGGCCTCTGTACGCCTATGTAGATATTCCATTAAGAATCAGCTGTTTCCAGCTACAATAGCCATTTACAACATTAACAATGTCTACACTGTATTTCTGATCAATTTGATGTTATTTTAATGGACAAATAAATTGCTTTTCTTTTGAAAACAAGGACATTTCTAAGTGACCCCAAACTTTTGAACGGTAGTGTATTTGGGCTGCAATTTCTGAGGCTGGTAACTCTAATGAACTTATCCTCTGCAGCACAGGTAATTCTGGGTCTTCCATTCCTGTGGCGGTCCTCATGAGAGCCAGTTTCATCATAGCGCTTGATGGTTTTTGCGACTGCACTTGAAGAAACGTTCAAAGTTCTTGAAATGTTCCGTATTGACTGACCTTCATGTCTTAAAGTAATGATGGACTGTCATTTCTCTTTGCTTATTTGAGCTGTTCTTGCCATAATATGGACTTGGTCTTTTACCAAATAGGGCTATCTTCTGTATACCCCCCTACTTTGTCACAACACAACTGATTGACTCAAACACATTAAGAAGGAAAGATTGTGCAAAGCTGTCATCAAAGAAAAGGATGGCTATTTGAAGAATCTCAAATATAAAATATATTTTGATTTGATAAACACTTTCTTCGTTACTACATGATTCCAATGTGTTATTTCATAGTTTTGATGTCTTCACTATTATTCTACAATGTAGAAAATAGTAAAAATATAGAAAAACCCTTGAATGAGTAGGTGTTCTAAAACTTTCGACCGGTAGTGTACCTTACGAGGCTAGTCAAGTTCAGTCAGGTGTAACCATGGACATGATGGTCAGTCTTACATGATCTTCCATCACAGGCAGGCAGGTAGTGAAGCAGAGTACGGGACAGTGTAAAGGACAGGACAGGTACTCACGCTGACTGAGGAGGATAACACCTCTGTTTTAGACACAGCAGCCTGGTACATGGCCATCCTGTCCCTCAGGGGCATGGACTCTATGCTCCCTGCATCTAGGAGACAGACAAAGAGAAGCACAGGTTACATTCACATATACACACACCTCTCATAAGCTATGGAGACGACAGTGCAGACTATCCATTCAGCACAATGCAGACTGTGCGGGTAATGGCTGTGTCCCAAGTGGCACCCTATTCTCTATATAGTGCACTACTTTTTTTGACCAGAACCTATGGGCTTTGGTCAAAAGTAGTGTGCTATATAGGGAATAGGATGCTATTTGGGACACACCCATGGTGTTTGTCAGGCTGCGACGGGAACACAGGGTCACAGGGGAAATAGAAGGGAAAAGCCCTCTTCCTGTAACTATCATTCTTCCTGTAATCACTGAGACATTCTGCTGATTGTGCTGATCATGACACTTTAGAAAGGAGCCAGCTACAGTCTCTACCACTGATACATTACAGTTAAAGGAAGGAAGTAGTCTGCTTAGTCTGTCTGTACTCCTCTCTAGCCTGGTGAAACAATATGTGCATCCTCATGGAGAACAGTACATCTACCTTTAACTCTGGTGTCCCATCCCGTGTGAGAGAGCGAGAGAGAGAGAGAGAGTCCTCTCTCAGTGTAATAGTACCTCCAAGTAGCTGATCCATGTTGTCAGTTATGCCTCCGGTCCCTCCAATCCTCACAGGCTCTCTGGACACCTGGAAACACAGAACCAAGCCACACTATCAGGACAGTATATTCCATTATGGTACCCTTTGCATTGTAGATTGAGCAGGCTATGAACATACTGAATAAGGCCAGCAGCACATGCCTCGTGGTTTGCACACAGAACCATATGATGCTCACGTGGTTAGCTCTAGGCTAGCATAAACTCACAGCAGGGGAGAACCAGGGCCACCCATCAGGCAGCTCTGAGCCCAGTGCTCTGACAGTGAGAAGAGTGGAGAGGAGTATAGAGGAGAGATGAGAAGAAAATAGGTGAGTGGAGAGAGGAGGTGTGGCAGCCTGTCAGTCAGTGCGTCAGCTGCAGTATCAGCCTGGCTTGTTGTCCAGCCTCCGTCCCGGCTGTCTGCCTCTCCTGCTCAGCCCAGCCCTCTCTACTCTAATCCCCTTATGAGCTCAGTGAGCTAGAGCCTGAGGCAGATAGAGCCTTACGGAGAAAAGGCAAGGCAGACACCCCAGTCTGTCTTCCTGTCCACAGTCACACACCCCAGTCAACACCAGCAACAGACAGAAGACTCACCTGTCACCCTCCTGCCTGACACACAGCACAGCGCATTCTGAACACAGCTGAAGACAGGACAGAGTGGCTGCCTGCTATTCAACCAACTTTTGTTTCAGCGATCAGGCCATCGGTGAGAGAGGGATTTCATAGAGCAAAGGTCAGTGGTAAAAGCCAAGAGGAGAAGACATACTGTTCTTGGCACACCTGTAGCAGCAGAGACTCAAGTTAAGCCTGGCTTCACCTGGCCTCTACCCGCTCAATGCAAGAACAGCCTCTGGGTGAGCCCCAAATGGTGCCGTGTTGCCTATATAGGGCACTACTTTTGACAAGGGCAAATAGGGCTCTGGTCAAAAGTAGTGCACTATGTAGGGAATAGAGTGCCATTTGGGACGCACCCTGTCTCCTGCCTCCTATCCGTCTGTACCGCTTGTGTCTGTAAGCCGGTGTGTGATCAGTATCAGAGATTAGAGGAGCAGCAGGGTGCCACAAAGCCCTGGTCGGCTGGGACAGCACCGGGCACAGCCTTATAATAGACAGACAGACAGACAGACAGACAGACAGAGAGACAGAGAGACAGAGAGACAGAGAGAGAGATGAGGAGGCAAATGGTGGATTAAACCCTGAAATGCAAAGGGGAAAAGTCTTTATAGAGTTGTGCATTCGTGGCAGTCTGGATTTTAGATTTGCATTCGCAGAAAGGGGTGATACGTGCTGTTCCATCCTCCAGAGTGGATTAAGGAAGCCAGACCCCAGCTGGCCCAGACGGACCCCAGGCAGAGAGACCCCTCTCTAACGCAGCCGGAGGCCCCCTCCCAAGCCTGACCACTCTTCAGCCTGATCCCTCTCCACTCAACCCCTCTCCTATCCTCTCCAGACGGTGGTCATGGTGGTGCCTCAACAATATGGGGGAGCAGGAGGAGGATGTAAACAAACAAACGTCAAGAAGGCAGCTGAGCTTAGAGAGGGAGGAACTGATCAGCGGGCCAGGCAAAGAGCTCTGAAACTAATCCCACTGACAATTTAAAAAACCCTGGAGACAGACTGAGGCTCCTCCCTAAAGCCTACCGCCTGCCGGCTGGCTGCCTGGGCCCCAGAACAATAACAAAAAATACCAATTCAAATCAGTGAGTTGTAGGCAAGGATACATATAGCACAAAACCACCATTGACAAAAACATATAAAGACCTTGAAAAGCCCCATTCACTGACAGACCAGTACTTTCATAAACCATAGTGTAGTCAGTGTATATGCTAGCCCTCCCATCAAAGGATTATATCCACAGGTATAAAAACCTAATACAAATATACTAATCCAACAACAAGCAAAGAAAGCAAACCCCAGATATAAAGCGGAGACTGTTTCAGAGCCGCAATAATCAAAGTGAGCTTAAGGAGGTCCGAGGTCGAGGGGTTTGAGACCAAACAAAGAAAGAATATATACATATTTACCTCTCGCAAAGCAACGCTAGGAGCTACAGGGAGAAGCGGACCGGAGCACAAGTGGAGGAGAGGAGAAGACTGTTAACGCTGGAGCACTCATACCTGTCCTGGAGGAGTTTGGAACATCAACAGCAGCTAACTCAATTGTGTTCATTAGACTGTGTCTCCACTGGACTGGGCTGCCTGACAGAGCAGAGCAGGGACCACGACTGGACTGGTGCCTCCTTCCTTTCTGCCTTGTCACAGTCACACAGAGAGAGAGGAGCAGAGGGAAGGCCTTCATGGGGGCATATGGAGGGGAGTGGGGGGCTAAAGAGGGAGGGGGTGACGGGGGGATGAAGTTGGGTCAATTAATTTCACAGTGCCTCTCCCTCATGACCGTCTCCTCCAGCGAGAGGAGGGGGAGTAAGGGGAGAGGAGGGGGAGAAGGAGAAGGCCTTGCTTTGATAAACCAGAGAGGACCAGGGGAGGAGGAAGAGTTATCTGAGGAGGCTCAGTTTCTCATCTCTACTGCAGTCATGTGCAATGCCTGCCCCATGACATCACCACCCCTGGAAGAGAAGTGAGGAGGAGAGGGGCTAGGCCTACAGGCCAAGGAGCAGGGAGCCAGGCACAGGGCTGGGTATGGAGGTGTGGGTCGAGGCCAGGGGCAGGTCTGGGTGTGGGGGTATGTGGGGCGAGCCCAGGTCACTTCCTGGCTTTCAGCTGGGAGAGAGAGAAAGCGAGAGAGATAGAAAGAGAGAGATCGAGAGAGGGCTGCTAATGTGCTTAAGGAAGGAAAGTTCAGCCAGCTGGGGTGTGGCGAGGCAACTCGTTAAGCCGCTACAAAACAATCCTCTGATCTGGTGTCCAGGCGGGTGCCCATGTTCAAATACCGACCAGTAAGCTAGCTAACCCACAGGTCTGAATCTTGATCAACACTCAACCAAAAACCCTAACTCATAAGAAAGTTCAATTGAAAGTCTGGCCTTTCATTTCCAACACCTAACATTTCATACAAGCCAGGGAAAATAAACGAAATATAGACTATTAGTCTAGAGTAAAAAGTGTTAAAAGGATCCTTTGCTTTTAAACAAGCTTATCCACTTTTCTATTGTTAACCCCCAAAGGGAGTGTGAGGAGGAGGACAGTGGTTGTTTTGAAGCCCCCCCTCCTACCCTCCTATCTGCCTCAGGGCATGGTTATATCTAGCCCATCTGTAGGAATGTACTGTAGTGAGATGAGAAAACTCAGAGTGGTGCATGTGACTGGCAGCAGCCCCCAGGAGGGCTCTGACCCCTGGAGAACACACAGCACAACATTCTTTACTTCTAGAACAGGAACATTGACGACACACAGACCTGTTGTCTCAACCACAATGCTACATATTCAGAAAAAGTCATTTGAAGCACTACAATTCATAGGGCTGCTTCATGGGGCCTTTCCTTAGCAAACACATCTAAGTCACTGTCACTGCTGGGTGATTTGAAATGTCCTAGTCAATCGATCAATAATATAATAATACTTTTAGCAAAGGTGTTTATCTTTGGTTTGCAATCTGTATAGACTCTGAAAATAGAAAGGTTCCGAACTTTTGTGAAACATCACAGCACAGTTGAAAAATATGGTGTTAAGAGATAGATGGGAGGGGTTGAGGGTAGTTGAAGGATGGGATTAAAATACAAATAAAAGATAACTATTGTCAAATACATTGTGTCTGTAAAATCTATATAGTATGTATAAGCTGGAAGTAGAAGCCTAAGTGTTGTTGTCCATTAGTTTACTCCAATTAGGGAAGGGGTGGTAGGATTAGGGGAAAATAATAAAGGAAAATATATTTTTAAAGGATATACAGTGCAATCGGAAAGTATTCAGACCCCTTGACTTTTTCCACATTTTGTTATGTTACAGCCTTATTCTAAAATGGATTAAAGTTTTCCCCTTATCAATCTACACACAATGACAACGCAAAAACAGGTTTAGACATTTTTAAAAATGTATTTAAAAAAATAAATAACGGAAATACATAATTTACGTAAGTATTCAGACCCTTTACTCAGTACTTTGTTGAAGCACCTTTGGCAGCGATTACCGCCTCGAGTCTTCTTGGGTATGACGCTACAAGTTTGGCACACCTGTATTTGGGGAGTTTCTCCCATTCTTCTCTGCAGATCCTCTCAAGCTCTGTCAGGTTGGATGGGGAGCGTCGCTGCACAGCTATTTACAGGTCTCTCCATACATGTTCGATCGGGTTCAAGTCCGGGCTCTGGCTGGGCCACTCTAGGACATTCAGAGACTTGTCCCGAAGCCACTCCTGGGTTGTTTTGGCTGTGTGCTTAGAGTCGTTATCCTGTTGGAAAGTGAACCTTCGCCCCAGTCTGAGGTCCTGAGCACTCTGGAGCAGGTACTTTGCTCCATTAATCTTTCCCTCGATCCTGACTAGTCTCCCAGTCCCTGCCGCTGAAAAACATCCCCACAGCATGATGCTGCCACCACCATGCTACAACATAGGGATGGTGCCAGGTTTCCTCCAGACGTGACGCTTGGCATTCAGGCCAAAGAGTTCAATCTTGGTTTCATCAGACCAGAGAATCTTGTTTCTCATGGTCTGAGAGTCCTTTAGGTGTCTTTTGGCAAACTCCAAGCGGGCTGTCAAGTGCCTTTTACTGAGGAGTGGTTTCCATCTGGCCACTCTACCATAAAGGCCTGATTGGAGGAGTGCTGCAGAGATGGTTGTCCTTCTGGAAGGTTTTCCCATCTCCACAGAGAAACTAAGGAGCTCTGTCAGCGTGACCATCGGATTCTTGGTCACCTCCCGGACCAAGGCCCTTCTCTCCTGAATGCTCAGTTTGGCCGGGCGGCCAGCTCTAGGAAGAGTCTTGGTGGTTCCAAACTTTATCCATTTAAGAATGATGGAGGCCACTGTGTTCTTGGGGACCTTCGATGCTGCAGAAATTTGTTGGTACCCTTCCCCAGATCTGTGCCTCGACAATCCTGTCTCAGAGCTCTACGGACAATTCCTTTGACCTCATTGCTTGGTTTTTGCTCTGACATGCACTGTCAACTGTGGGATCTTATATAGACAGGTGTGTGCCTTTCCAAATCGTGTCCAATCAATTGAATTTACCACAGGTGGACTCCAATCAAGTTGTATATCAATGGAAACAGGATGCACCTGAGCTCAATTTCGAGTCTCATTGCAAAAGGTCTGAATACTTATGTAAGTAAGGTATTTCAGTGTTTAAAAAATATATATAAATTTGCAAACATTTCTAAAAACCTATTTTTACTTTTTAATTTACTTAATCCATTTTAGAATAAGGCTGTAACGTAACAAAATGTGGAACAAGTCAATGGGTCAGAATACTTTCCCGAATGCACTGTGTGTGTATACATATATATATACCTTGAAAGTTTGGACACCTACTCATTCCATGGTTTTTCTTTATTTTTACTATTTTCTATATTGTAGAATAATACTGAAGACATCAAAACTATGAAATAACACATATGGAATCATGTTGTAACCACCCTTTGCCTTGATGACAGCTTTGCACACTCTTGGCATTCTCTCAACCAGCTTCATGAGGTAGTCACCTGGAATGCATTTCAATTAACAGGTGTGCCTTCTTAAAAGTGATTTTGTGGAATTTCTTTCCTTCTTAATGCGTTTGAGCCAATCAGTTGTGTTGTGACAAGGTAGTGCTGGTATTCAGAAATTAGCCCCATCAAGCACTATGATGAAACTGGCTCTCATGAGGACCGCCACAGGAAAGGAAGACCCAGAGTTACCTCTGCTGCAGAGGATAAGTTCATTAGAGTTAACTGCACCTCAGATTTCAGCCCAAATAAATGCTTCACAGAGTTCAAGTAACAGACACATTTCAACATCAATTGTTCAGAGGAGACTGTGTGAATCAGGCCTTCATGGTCAAATTGATGCAAAGAAACCACTACTAAAGGACACCAATAAGAAGAAGAGACTTGCTTAGGCCAAGAAACACGAACAATGGACACTAGTCCTTTGGTCTGATGAGTCCAAATTTGAGATTTTTGGTTCCAACTGCCGTGTCTTTGTGAGACGCAGAGTAGGTGAATGGATGATCTCCGCATGTGTGGTTCCCATCGTGACGCATGGAGGAGGAGGTGTGATGGTGCTTTGCTGGTGACACTGTCTGTGATTTATTTAGAATTCAAGGCACAGTTAACCAGCATAGCTACCACAGCATTCTGCAGCGATATGCCATCCCATCTGGTTTGCGCTTAGTGGGACTATCATTTGTTTTCAACAGGACAATGACCCAAAACACACCTCCAGGCTGTGTAAGGGCTATTTGACCAAGGACAGTGATGCATCAGATGACCTGGCCTCCACAATCACCCGACCTCAACCCAATTGAGATGGTTTGGGATGAGTTGGACATTAGAGTGAAGGAAAAAAGGGCAACAAGTGCTGGTTGAGAGAATGCCAAGAGTGTGCAAAGGGTGGCTATTTGAAGAATGTCACATATTAAATACATTTTGATTTGTTTAACACTTTTTTGGTTACTACATGATTCCATATGTGTTATTTCATATTTTTGATGTCTTCATTATTATTCTACAATGAAAAATAAAGAGAAACCCTTTAATGAGTAGGTGTGTCCAAACTTTTGACTGGTACTGTATATATTTCCCCAAAAAATATATGGTGGTTTGGAAATTATGCAGACAATTACATTGATGGAAACTACAATCTATCTGCAATATTAAAGCTGATCTACACCCCAATATATATATATATTTTTTTTTAAGTAAGTCACTGTCACAGAGCAGAATGCCTCACAACACCTGATCCTGATCCACATGACTACACTGGACTTCTAATACTTAAACAATATACAAGTGTTTCTCCAAAATACATGTGGAAACCACAGATTTGAAGAAACAAACGACTTTGATAAAAATAAAAGATTTTTACAAACGATGCACTTTGCAGTACTTCGTCAGCTTTGTACCTGTTTAGCCATTCTAATTTCTTATCATTTATGTGGCGAAAATGGCAGAAAAATAAAATGTATCCTATTAAAATAATTGGGGGCATGTAGCTTGTAAATCAGTACGTTTGGACTTACTTTGTTCTGACGGTTCTCTCCTTTCTCAAACATCATCTTGAGGTTGTTGAGGGGTATGTTGGGCTTCTCACTGGGGACACAAGGCACTTCTACTGCTGCTCCTCTCTCCTGCCTCTCTGGGTCTCTCTGCTGCCATCTCCTCTCCATACCTGATCCTGCCTGGTCCTCTACGGCTGTGGGACTAGTATTGTGGCTGGGGGCTGGTGAGAGAGGTGGCTGGGCCTGAGTTGCCTGGGGCTGGGTCTGGATCTGGTGCTTGGCTTTAGGATCTGAGGGGAGTAAGCCGTGAGTGTGGGGTAGCGGGATACAGGGTGTGGCTGACTGGTCAGACTGCTCCCAATGCTTCTTCAACACACTCAGGTTGCAACTGCGGAGAGTCTGTGGCAACGGCTCTGCAGCCTGGAGTAGGGGGTAAAGACAGACATTATCAGTCTGACTAACAGATCATAATCACTGACACATTCCAGAAGCATCCCAACTGCCTGAATCCATAACTTAGATACTTAAGAGACGATAATTACTTTTTTTGTTTTGTGTCATCTAAAATAGAAGAGCTGAGGAATGCTATGTAATAACAGGATGAGGAGGGGAAAAAATACAGAACAGATACCAGTGTTACAGCCACATCAATTGTTTCAGGAGACAAGAGTTGGTCTCCGATTTCTTCCATAGCTACTAATACAGCTACCGTTAGCATTCAACCTGAGTAGCATCTTTCTACCAGACCTCTCCCTGGTTAACCCAACCTGGCTATGACTACACAGTTTCTCATGCTCATCAAATGGCATTGTCCTCTGTTTAGACAACAACCATAAACTGTAAAAGTAAGATAAGTGGAGCTAAAAGTTTCACAGCCATTAAAATGAATGAGAAACAAGGACACTAAAAGTCATAGTTTTCCCTTCACTACCATCTGTCTCCTTTTGTCAAAGAAAAAGAGTAAAAACCTTGGAAAGCCTGGTAACCTGGAGATCCAGTTGGCTCTGTGTCTGTTGGGTGGAAATTATAAAAACTCTCCCAGATGTGAGCCTTTAGAAAAGATCTGTATGAAGGAGCTAGCTAGCCCACCCCCCTACACCAGGAGAGAGCATGAGAGAAACACAGAGAAGGAAGGAGGGAGAGAAATAGAGATCACAGAGTGGAAGAGAGTGAGAGAGAGAGAGAGAGAGAGAGAGAGAGAGAGAGAGAGAGAGAGAGAGAGAGAGAGGAAAGAAAAAGGATGTAAGAGAGAGACGAAAAAAAACGGAAACAGAAAAGGTCTGTTGAAAGAAGGGGAAAATTCCAAAAATGAGAAAGCAGGAAATTGTACATTTTGGAGACATTAACTGTTTGATGACAGAGACCAGCAGCATGTCCCCTCCCCAACTGTGAAGACTAACAGATTTTCTTATGTTACGTTCTTCGAAATGCCCTGAGTCTCTGCTAACGGTGACAATGTACATAATTGTAGCAGAAAATTTGTTTTTCGCACTAAATACCTTGAAAGTACCTTGAAATTACTAAATTCTACATAGGCCAACACCCAGAACATGCACCCTATAAATCAGTGATTGAATTGGGCTGGAACATGTTCTAATGCTTTAGTACCGGTCCCTCTTATAGAATATAGGCTTAAAAATATGAACAGTACCGTCCGGCACCCAAACAATACTTCAAGCATTGCTCTCAATACAGTACAACAGCTGACAGTCTACTTATTCCAGACACATACCTGGGATTTAAAAAGCTTAATGAAAATAACTCAATTCCCTGCTGTTTGTTTATATCCCCGCAGGTGACATTCCCAGGCCCAGCCAACAGACCACTAGGAAGAGTGTCTGTATTGCCCAGGTGTGGATCTGGCATTACATTGTAGTCCTTCATGCCTGTGAAGTGAGTGACCACCCAGTGTTTTTTGATCAGGTCTGTAACAGAAGCACAGAAGTGATGCGAGGTACTAGGAGCAACAGAGGTGGGGTATTATCTACCTTCAGATTAAAGTCTCTGAAGAAGGATTAAAGCTTTACTAGTGTAGCCTCCAAGTGCAATTTGTGGACAGGCATGACTGTGGGTGTTTAGCCCTGTGAGTGAGTGAGTGACTGAGTGACTGAGTGACTGAGTGAGTGAGTGAGTGAGTGAGTGAGTGAGTGAGTGAGGAGTGAGTGAGTGAGTGAGTGAGTGAGTGAGTGAGAGAGAGAGAGAGAGAGAGAGAGATTCATCCCAATATATCTAGCTTTGTTAGATATTAGTCCCTTCAAACTTGACTGGGTACTTACTGCTTTCTTCCTCTCTGAGTTGCATTCCTCTGCAGCCAGTTGGTACCTTGGAAGAGGATAGAGGGGGTTGTGAGGCCTACATAATGGAGGCAGATCAGTTTATAGGCAGTGCAGTTTACAGCCCTGTCTATAGCTAAGAGTTCAACAAAGCTGCCATGAAGGTGGGAGAAACAAAGTAATCTGTACTACTTCTGAGTTTGGATCACTTCTAAATACAACTAGACCTATACACATAACAATGGAGCACCGCTGACCCCTAGTGGTCAGACACGGGAAATAAAAACAAATGACAAAGGAAAAACTGTTAAAAAGCAGAGAGGTATGGAGAAGGGACCAATCTAATCTCCGACATTAATGGCTGTATCATGGCTGTAATAGCCAGTGCTGTTTCCACATTTGGATAGACAAACTGGTAAAACTCTAGCCTGGTCCCAGATCTGTTTGTGCTCTTGGCTACTCCATGACAATGAGTGACAATGAGTTGGCATGATAGCACAAGCAGACTTGCACTCAGGCTAGTAAAAAATCTGCAATGTTATTAAATCTAGTTTCAAAATATTGCTGGTGTAATTTTCTTATCTTGTACTGATCCAGAAGACACTGGAGAGGACATTGAGTGGGAGGGAGTGTGTGATCTAATACTATGGTTTCAGGCAGCAGAACGGACTGGGATGGAAAAAGTTATCAGTGGTCAGTAGGAGCCTAACACTGAAGTGAGTATTTGCGTTTCTACCCTGGAACAAGTACGAGCGTATGTACAATAGGACGAGAGTGAGAGCAATATATACAACTGGGTGACTTTACATGTGAAGAGTAATTGAATCAGAGAACAAGAAGAGAAAGTGAGTAACAGTAAAGATGAATGAGAGCAATACTACCACAGACCGAAAGGGTAACCCAGACAAGTCACAGGGGCTATAAAACTGAAGCATATGGTAGTGAGAGGAAGTCCGGTAGTGGGAGAGAATGGAACTAGGTGAAATTGGGCCGAAATTCTGCTCGTTTTCTCTTCGATGAAACATCTGATCTCAATACCGTTTTCTGTTCCCAAAACTAGAATCTGTTACGAACACAGTGCCCAAAGTTTTATAGACTTTACGCTTTGCCAAAGTCTTTTTTTTTTAAATTGCGTTGTTTAGGAGTGCAAGGTCGAATTGAGTTTGTGCACACTTCACAGAGGAGGCGTTCCCTAACAGAAATATGCAAATAAATACTACAACGCGCCAATAGGAACTCGCTAGCTTATGCTTTGCCCGCCTCCTTGTTTATTCTGCCCACTATGCTTAATTTGCTCCCACTGTAAATGACACAGATGAACTATCTTGGGTTAGTTATTCATATCTTTGATACTACTGTACGCCACTTACTTCGAGAAGCGCTCAGCGATGGCATTGTTCTTGCCTCTGGTGCCGACTATGGACAACTCATTAGCTGTGACTCTGAGGGACTGGGAGGCCCACTGTTTGCGACTGAACGGAGCGACGGTCATCTCGGTTGTTCTCAGGGAAAAACTGCTCTAGCTGGCTGGAGAGGAAGAAAAAAACATAGGATATTACATTTACCTCACAATTAAAGTAACAAAAAGAAGATTCTACCCTAGACAATCATACTTCTCGTATCTCAGCATGTGTGAGAAGACTATGTGTGTGAGCCATAGGTCTATGGCATGAGGAGTCTGCAGTGAGTGACAGTAGGCCACTATTGTGTAGGATGACTCATGGTTCCTGTGGATGAATAAATCAGCAAGGAGTAAGGCAGTTGCCAGCACACAGCAGCTACTCATCCAACTCAGGCCTCTCATTGAGACACTGAACTCATGAACTTGAATCCCCCAAGCTACTCCCAGCAGACACAGGCCTTGCCTGGTCATCTTTCTCAGTGTCATACAGAGACAGTGAAGTGCCCACTTGTTTCCTGGGACGTCACACAGCCTTTCTGTCTGGAAGCCAGGGCAAGCAGATTCCTGCATTCACTCTCACCCTTACTGTTATACAGTATGCACTTTCATTTCAACTGTCATTTCAGAATTACACATGGTTCACAGTACAAAAACAATTAGCCTATGTGGAGGATGTTGAGGATTCTAGTTAGGCAATAGCCTCTAGGGTTCTGTACAGTTTAATGAGCTAACTTATACAGTACTGTCGAACTAGCCTATTGGTTTAAATTTCCTTTTAAAACAGAGATATGGTGAGACAGGTAGACCTAGACTATACTTTTCCTTGGTAATGAGAAATATGAGACACCTTGCACACATCCACCTGACCAGCAGATAAACCACCATTATTATGAATAACGTTAATAGTAGTGAGGTCAGCAAAAAAAGTCCCCATTTAGCAGGTTGGCATTAATCCAAATATGCTGCTCTGGATCCTATTTGTAAGTCGCTCTGGATAAGAGCGTCTGCTAAATGACGTAAATGTAATGTAAATGAATATAGGCTATCCTTAAAGGCCCAGTGCAGTCAAAAACGTGGTTTTCCTTTGTTTTATATACAGTATATTTATAAACTATGAAGTTGGAATAATACTGTGAACTTGTGAAAATGATAATAATGCCCTTTTAGTGTAAGAGCTGCTTGAAAAGAGCCCCTGAAATTTCAGACTGTTTGGTGGGATGGAGTTTTAGCCTACCTGGTGACATCACCAGGCAGTAAATTAGTTAATAGACCAATAAGAAAGAGAGTTTCAAACTTCTCTGCCAATAACAGCTAGTTTTCAGTTTCTCCCTCCCCACTCAAACCACTCCCAGACAGTCCTAGCAAAATTATTGCTTCAGAAATAGCTCTTTGCTAAGAATTTATTTTTGTTTCTTTTTGACCATTTTAATTGAAAACAATCACAGTAAGGTACTTAATTATTACCCAGAAATTATTTGATATTGAGATAAAAACGGCTGCATTGTACCTTTAACACTTTCTCTATTGCTTTGTCCACTGATCAAACACCACACACATATAATCAAAATATCACCTCAGACAACACATTTTGGAAATTGCCAGCAACGTATGACTGACTCTACAATCAAATATTTAAATAATAGGAAATGACTTGAGCAAAAGACTAAAAAGATTGCACCCAAATTGGGCATCCAACATACCTGCTGACTTTCAAATCAGTATTTCCAGAAAGATCTCTAAATACTAGGATAAGCCTTTCTACACAATAAAATATTTTAAAAAATGATCACCTCTACCCCCATAGAAAGCTCAGGCACATTACATACCTTCAAGTTTTTCTTATCACTCCTCTCTTGTTTCTTGATGCTTGTTTCAACTTCCCTCTTTTACATCTCCTCAGTAACACTTTGCTGTCTGGCACTGCTATGTGCTGTGCTCATAGAACTATGTTTGCTTGGGAAAATGGGAGGGGGACAAATCAACACCATGAGACTCTTTCCAACCATTAACATAGCAGCATTTACTTCCACCTGGCAAGTACAGTACAAGCCGCCCTCCCATCCAATCCACTGTGTTCCTCATAGTGAATCTGAAAGCATACAAGGTGGGTACATACAGTCTACACTACACCACACCTCCTTACAGTATGACAGAAGGGGAAGCATCCAACTCAATTCCTGGAAGTGAAGAAAACTCCACATCCCTTCTCATGAGGTCAAAGGCTGAGAGGATGTGAGTCATTCACAATCCAGACAAACTCCACTGACGCTGTATGTGTGTGTGTGTGTGTGTGTGTGTGTGTGTGTGTGTGTGTGTGTGTGATCAAAAGATCACCCATGTTATCATCCCTCTTCCACTCCTTAAAAGGTCTGTCTGTATGTTTGTCTGTTTGCCAGCCTTTCTGTCTGTCTATCAATAAACCCATACCAAAAAAAATCCTCTATACCTTGTTGTTCCTAGTCTAAGATGTTTAAGAAACTGTTATTGTGCCCTCTAATTTACAATGGACTGCTAAGCTTCAGATGGTGTGGCACCAGGGTCTAGGCTACATCAGTGGCACATCACTACAGTCTAATCCAAACCACATGATTCCCCTGTGTGTGTAGGGGAGGGCTCTGTGTCCCTAAAGCTAAACCTGACACATAACTATGTCTATGGCAGACAGTTTGTTAGAGAATACAAAGTTGTGTAACAGCCAAAACCCAGTGTGGATCATTTTTAGGATTAAACACACTCTCTGTTTTTACTTTGGGTGGTCTGTATGTCTTTGGAGCAAGGTTATTATAGTTTTGTGATTTTCTATTTGTTTTAATTTCTATTCGTTATTTTATTTTTATTTGAAATTCAGTTTAGTTTGCAGTAATTTTTTAGACTTGATTTACTAGTTTTTATTCAGTTTCAGTTTGCTGAAAACCATTTCTATTTAGTTTTATATAATTTAGTTTTAGTTTTAGTGTTAGGGACAGAAAGTAGCCTTATGCATGGGAGGCTAGGAGCCATGTATGTGTTGTAGGCCTATAGTAGGGGTACTCAAGTACTATTTGAGATGGTCTGTCACACAAATGTCCTAGGTGGCAAAGGTCCGGATGGATGTTGGCATTTATCGGCGTAGTAACAAACCCTCACCTCGCGACCCATGCGACCGCATACTGTTCACACACTTTTAAATATCATTTTAAAATATCATTTTCTGCAATTCTAGTATTTGTAGATCAGTGATTCTACACCTCACTTTGCTCAAACTGATTCGCTCCAACAGACTCAACCCCTGATCATCTGGGGTTATAAAAATGGGGCAATTAGGACAGTTAAAGGGGAGAGACTATTAATCCAACCAGAAGAAGAAAAACATTCAAAATTAGAATATCTCTTGAAAAAAAGAGCACGCCAATACCCCGCTGGGACGCTCTTTGCAGACAACAATATATTCTGCAAAACCTGCAATTTAGCATTAGATTATTAAGGGTGATTCTTTAACTATGGTACTTTTCTTGTCCCTGGATGAAATAATAAAAACTAAAAAACATTTCTTCTTTTTTGTTTTTGTCATACTTACTCCACCCTAAGGGGAACTTATAAAAAATGTATCATGGCTCAATCATTCTTTTTATTATATAATATGAGGCCTTTTATGCATGGTTTTTACTGTTTTCCCTCTGTCCCTAAGCCAGACTTTGTATCTTCAACCTCGCTTAATTCTAAATTAAATATTTAAATAATGTAGATTTCAAGTACAAATGATAAAATACCATTTATTTCAATTCTACATATTATATATTGTGATACATATTCACATTTTCCTATATTTTTCATAAATAGAACCCTTGTCCCTTGGGGTCACTGTCATTTCCACCACACTGTACAAAATAGAATCCTGGGATCAGTGTTTTAGGTTTGTATATTTAGTAACCATAGCAACAGAAACTCCACAGTGGAACACATGGCTGGATGAAATGGTGTCCTCTACAGGGGGTAATGAAAAGAAGAAAAATCAAGGTAAATATGAGTAAAACTGAGAGTATGTTTATTGGTCGTCATTTCCAAACAGCTCATATTTCACATGGACGTAAAAATAACTGGATACATTTAATTTAATAATGTGTAATTTGTGTATATTTAATGCTAACTCTAAAACTAATATTAGCAGGCTAACATAGCATGAGATTTTAGAGGGAAAGTGGGGAAATGTCATTTCCACCACAGTCATTTCCACCACGGTGTTCATTGTGGTGGTAAAGACAGGTTGTGGTGGAAATGACATTGTTCGTGCTAAACAGCAAATTATTTGGGCTATAATACTGATACTAAATTCAAAAACAGTTTTAACAATATTACAATATTGTTGGTAAATAAGAGAACAATAGATAAGTAGGTTTGACATGATGTCTTGGCTCTTTCTTTAAGATGGCAAGCAATACCACAGCACAGAGGTCAAGATCATACAGAGAAAGAATAAAATCAGATCCACTTAAATATGCAGAGTCCCTCAAGAAGGACAGAGAAAGATACCTGAAGAAAAAGCAACAAGGTGTTGTTAAATCTGTGACAGAAATGCCGAAAAGAGAACAACGAAAAATGAGAAGACAGTGGCGAATTTCTCAACGAAACAGACGTAGGAAATGGAAAATGGTCTCAGCAGTGAATAGTTTCATGGCACATACAACACCACCACCATCACCAGACAACATGAGTGTTAATGCAGAAGACATCCCTGAAACACCTCAGCTGTGTGAGCCTACACCAGAGAGAACTCCACAGAGGAAAAGAGGGAGAAAAAAGGTTGCGAAGGCAAAAGCAAAGGTGTACAGAGATCTTAATGACATTAAACAAAAGCTTGAGGATGCCCTCAGAAAAGTTGAAAAATACAAAAAAAGAAGTAATCGACTGAAGAAGAACCTGGGGATCCTAGAGTCACCTAAAATGAAAACAAAGCAACAGATGCAGCAAGAAAGCAAGCAATTAAAGAAGACACTCCTATTCCATAACACCATTATGTCAGAAATAAGAAAAAAGTATCAGAATGTTGACAATCGTAAAGCTCGGCAACTGATCTCCAAACTTGTGGCTGGCAAGATCTTAAAAAAATACCGCCTGGTCACCATGGCCAAGAAGGAGTTTGGATTCTCTACAAAACTAATCAGGACAAACATGACAAGGGCCGACAAACTCAAATACACCCGCATGGAGACTGCATTGGGATCACCAAGTTCAAGCACACTTACCAGCACATCTCAACCCATCATAGACCTGCATGAGGGACTGATTGGAAGTTGGTGTGTGGTACGGTATGATGGGGATCCTTACCCTGGCATTATACAGGATGTGGACCCTGAGGGTTGTGCTCTGGTGAGAACCATGAGTCATATTGGCAAAAACAAGTTCTTCTGGCCTATGAGAGACGATGTTATTTGGTACCGGCCAGAAGATGTGATCAGGCTGGTCCCAGAGCCTCAACCAGTAACAAAGAGGCATGTGATGGTGGAGCCAACAGTTTGGAAAGAAATATGCTCTGTTCTTGACCATGAAACATAACTGAACCTCTGGCCCATATGCAAGTTTGACAGATACAGTATTTAGCAAATACAATGTCTATTTAGTCAGATTCAACTTGTTATTCCACATGATTACGTTTGACAGTACATGGATTTACGATATAACACACATGACAGTAATGTTTAAGTACAGAGTGTTTGCTCTGGTTCAGCATAGGCATATAAGTTTTCAATTTCAAAATATATTGCCTATTTTATCTGTTATTCAACTGGTTATATTAAGGTTATGTTAAGGTAATGATGACATAAAGGGTTTGCTCTAGTTTGTACTAGTTTGCTCTAGTTCAGCATGTAGAAAACAGTGAAGAAATGATTTGCTGATTTTTAACACAAATTCATGTTTTTTCATTTTTTGGATTGTTTTTAATTTAAAAATATTGGTGATATGTTTTTGTTCACAAATGCTGTTGCTTATTGATTTGCTCTGGTTCACCACATAGAGCAGTAGAAAAATTGTTTTTAATTGGAAGTTGCCTATCTGTCATTTCCGCCACACACTGTCTCTTCCGCCACGCCATGTCATTTCCACCACAACACATATTTTAAAGTAAAACATATAAAAAACATACAATCAAACCAACTATATTCAGTGGTGTTGATAATTGTGCAGTTAGGGCTAAGATTTGTGTATACACTTTGAGAAATATATGATTTTGAGCTATGATAAGAAAATGAAATGTTCCATTGACCTAGTTTTAGGTGTTTTTTAGTGTAAACATTGTAAAATCTTTACAGTTACATTTCTGAAAAAAATTGTAAATTACAAATTTGAACAGATATGTGTGTGCTATTTAATCAAATATATTTATAACAGAAGATATTTCATTATTTTCTCTTAAAAATACATGTTTTGTTATGTGATGGAAATGACCGTTTTCTTGGACTGTCAGATAAAAATGGCAAAAAATATATATTAGTAAATACAAATCATCACAGCCAACTTCAGGGAAGGTTTCCAGACAGATTGAGAAACCAACTGATACTAAAAAATTGTTTGTAGAAATGTTTTTATTTTCTGAAACTGTCTAGCTCAAAGAGTACCATAGTTGAAGAATTACTGTCGTAGTAAATATACAATGTTATAGCTTGGTCTGACTAAAATGTTGTGCATGACCCATTTTATGTTAGGAGCTTGTTTTCAATCAATGCTGTTCCTATGCAAGAACAATGGACAGAGGACCATATCTTGTCAAGGACAACACCCACGCCACAGGCCACAATCACTGGTTGCTCCCCACGAGTTTTCCCTTGAGACATACACACATTCACACACACATCTCAATGTGGACGCACACTCATTCTCATGCCTCACGAGTTCTTTGCTCTGTGGACGCACACACACAAACTGCACTTCTTTCTACTGGTCGGGTGCCAAGGGCAGAGGACTCTGCCGTGCACCAATGGGGCTTCTGCTCTGGACAGAGCAGACCCGCCTCCTACGCCTCGGGAACCAATCAAGGGACTAGAAGAAGGACCCCTTTCATTATGTTGCATTGTATAAAGTAATGCTGAAAACTCTGTTTTTGATCCCTTTTCAACTGTCTCCATAAGAGGCAACTGAATGGGTCCATGCATGTAGCTTGAGCAGATACCAGCTATCTCTGTGTTTAATAAACTGCCTTTTGCTTAAGCATATTCCTCTCCGTCTAGCGTCGTTGGTTTTGTACTTCCTCTCCATTTATGGTTTCACCAACAAATTGGTAGCAGAGGATGGTTTTTAATTCGATCTAAAGAGTTGGTGCGAGAGGAAAAGGCAAATCATCGATCTAAAAACAGGCGGAAGAGTGACCTGTAATCCAGGAGACATCAACTATTCGTCTTGCCTCAGGAACCTGATCAGAGCGCTCTTCTAAAAAGGTATGCAGAGCCTGTTAAAACGAAATCTTGCATATTGTATTATAGACCAATACCAAATTTTGATCAGAAGTACTGAGTGTGAGTATGAATACTTGTTAAATAAATTTTCCATCCTAATGAATTAAGGCATACATGAGATATCTGGTACTGTGTTTTATACTAAGGAATAAAGGAATAAGGAATAAAGGAATAAGGAATAAAGGAATAAGGAATAAAGGAATAAGGAATAAAGATAAACGTATCCAGAATGTGTCAAACTACGGATTGACGCATTGGTGGATAAGATTTGACCCATAAATCTAGATTCCTAAGGGACCCAGTTTGTTCTGAAATCTCTCGCATAAAATATATCCTATAGGGGAGGTCCTACCCTATAGGTTGCGAGGAGGTTGAAGTTAAACTGTGGCAGAGTTCTAGACATTAGGTGGGGGAGAATCACCGAAATTGACCAGAGGTACTAAATTCCCGGGGATGCCAGTTATCTCTGTGATTTCACACTTAAAACGTTCCATATAAATGGTTGTGTGAAAGGTACAATTAAGCTGAGACTAAGTCCTTCCTAGTGATCGAGTTGTCTAAAGAAAATCCTTTGATAGGGATCCAGTTGCTTCTGTGACTTCACATAAGTATAAGGTTGTGTGAAGGGTGGCAGTTGAACTGAGACTATGTTTTAGGACGCTCTGGTAACCTAAATTTTTTAAGGTATTGTATTCTAATTGGCAGTTTTGTTTTGCTGTGTTTATATTTTAACGTGTCTGTGTTATATCTTAAACGTGTGATGGAGGATGGGAAGTAATAGTGAGACCTATGACATTGAAAATCAAACTGTTGAACTGAGTGAATTCGACCTAGGGTTTCAGGAACCAGGGACTGGGGAAACTGATATTGGATCTGTGCATGATTTTACAACAGGAAGTGAGACAACTAGAACGTATTGTGTGCTGTGGTTTAATTTCTGTATTGGTATATGTAACTGGAATTCTGATTTATATGACATTAATTGTATTAAAAATTATATAAATTAGCCTCTTTATATGCGAGGGTGTCATACATGAGATAAGTCTGTATTTGATACCGATAATACATTCCTGGAGATAAAACACCAGGGACGGGATAAGTGTATAAAGATAGAGAAAGCAAGATGGCAGGGCCAAACATAACTATACCCAAATTTAATGAATACCTAGAAAAACGAATGACAGACAGAGCAGGGGGAAAAGAAAAGTATAAGAAAGTTAAGAAAGTGTGGGAGGAGGTGAAGTTGAGATGGACACAGGCAGGTTACCTCAGAGGGGGACCTCCCTCGGAGGAAGAACTCAAGATTATGGAGAAAAGTCTAGAAGTGGCAGTTGAGAAAGCCAAGGGAGAGGAAGAAGGAAAGAACAAGGCACATAGGTTTAAGAAAGAGGGAACTAAAGAGAGAGAGAGAGCACAGGGAGAGTTGAGAGTAGGGACATGGGCAATAGAGGAGAGTAGGAGGGTGCACCCTAAAAAATCTGACACAATGTGTGTGAAAGGGTCTCCTACAGTCGCCCCAGACACCAGCACCAGACCTGTTCCCACTTCACTATACCCATTGTTAACAGAGGAGGCACTGCGGCCCCCACCATACACCCCAGGACAGGAGCACAACATTCAGACACACCACCAAACCAATCCATTTCTCTCCATGCCTCAGCCTGCAATACAGGCCCCTGTTCTAACAGTAGGAGAAGGGAGCCTGAAAGGCACCATGACTTTTGGCATAACTGGAGGGCAGTTGCTGTGTGAACAGATGCCCTCTACCAGCACTCCATATCAACCCAAAGAACGGGAAACCCTGAGACGGGAAGAAGGGGGAGACCCGACCTCTCCTGGAGGTCGCTCCCTGCTCTCTTTTAACAACCCTGTGAGCGGAGTGAATAGTGGGTGTCACCAACAACTGAACCCAGAATTTTTCAGACAACGTTCTTCACAGGACCTTACAGAGGGAAGGCGTGGCCATTTGAGCAATCAAAGCAGAGATATGGAGGATGATGAAGACAGAAGAGCTTACATTAGCGAACTGGATATAAACAGAAGGATACCCACTGAAGATGAAATAGAAAGTGAAATTCAAAAATTGGAAATCCAATTAGGAAGATCCCGAGCTGAAGTTGAGGTGCTCCTTGCTCCAGGTGAGAACGAAAGGGGAGACTACCTAGTGGAGGGAATAATAAGAGGAACAGTGACAAACGTGACAGATACCTTGAGAGATATCACAACACATGAGCAACATCGGAGGTCAGCCAGAGTGGCAGTGGACATTTCAGGCGTGATTGTAAGGATCCACCACAATTTACCTATCAACCCCAATGGAGGTGAAGAGGAAGAGGAAGGGGAGGACCACCATACCCATCACACCCACCACCTGCTCACCATCAAGGTCAGGTGCAGCAAACCCCCTCGATGTCACCCCCCCAATACCCAACTGCAGGTTTCCAAGGTATGGCGGGGGAACCCATGTTCTGGCCATGAAGGTGCCCACCACCCACGACAGAAAGAGGGGGCAAACATTTTCAACTACACACTGAACCTACCATGACGCGTGAAGTCGAAGGTGTACCACACCAGTTTCTTATTGATACTGGTTGCACACACTCTGCCATCAGGTCTCCTCAACCTCTGTCAAATGATTCCATATCGGTGGTAGGGGTTATGGGATCACCACAAGCACAAAGCCGAACATTGCCTTTAACATTCTCCTGGGAAAAATACAAGCTGAAACATCAGTTCCTTTACTGTCCAAAACTGCCCCAACAACCTTTTAGGAAGGGACTTACTTTGTAAAATGGGCTGTAGCATATATTTGACAGAGAATGGGCTAGAAGTATCAACAAACCCACCTGTCTGAACTCCAGGTGCCCGAAGGCGTGATCCTCATCCAATACTACTACCACCGACATCACAGACTGAACTCAACCAAGGCGATATAGC